GTTTACTGGCCATTGATTTGTTAGCGCTAGTGCACAGCCTCTCTGGGGGTCATACATAACCCTGGGCACTAAATGTCCTGCAAACGCCATTGATCATAGGCTGCATTCATCTGTTTGACAGAGACCAGACTCAGTCCAAATGAGACTGCTGGCCTCATCTGAACAGCAGCTACTTCCAATTCTACATCAAAAGGACCAAGTGCATTCTTAAAAATAAATAACTGCAGGACATGAGCTGAGCTTGAATAAATAAATGCAGAATAATGCTGCTTTTTTTACTTATAGGTTGAATTTCTAAACGTGACCATTATTATGCATCTTTTGAACATACATAACAAAACCCTGCACTGCCTCAGGGGCTGCTCCCCTTCTGCTGCCTCTTGTAAATGTGACACCCTCAATAATAATGGAGAGGATATCGTGCCAGCCACCCCCACCCACCGCACCCCCCCTTCACTCTGTGTTTTGTCCTCCATCTCAGGGGGCCACGTGAACCCTGCTGTTTCTCTGGCCATGGTGATTCTGGGCAAACTAAAGATCTGGAAGTTTCCCTTCTATGTCATTGCTCAGTTTCTTGGTGCTTTTGCTGGAGCTGCTGCAGTCTTTGGGTTATATTATGGTGAATATACCTGAACTTTATTCCCTCACACATGTATATCAAACCAAACAGTTGTTAGAGATAGAATATATTAGGGATACAATTGATTTAGTGTCTCCAGTGCTTGGAAAAGCTTAACACAGAGCTGTCAGAATAAAAATATTTCAGTATATCTATCATTATGATATACTAATGGATGAAAGCGACTACTGTGCCCAATTACAGCTGTTTATTTGTTCTGTCAGACGCCTTCATGGATTTCACAAGTGGGAGTCTGTCAGTGACAGGGATCAACGCAACAGGTCACATTTTTGCTTCCTACCCCGCGAGACACCTGTCAGTCCTTGGCGGCTTCATCGATCAGGTGAGCTTTGGTTGCTGTGACCTAATGACCTCCCCTCTCATTGTGCACTGGCGCTCCCATTCAGGCTCTAAATGCTGTGAAGTCAGACCACTGTGGCTAATGAACAATTGATTGCCCTTATTTAGTCTGAGAAGACCCCCTCTTCTGCTGAGTTTTAGGTCTAATGACCCATTTCCTGGCCTTCACTCGATGGTCATATCTATACTAAAACCATTTTTAGTTTGTGTAGTCGGTGCACTGATCCAAAAATAACACCTAGCAGCAAAAAACTGTTGAAAACCACATCCAGTGAACTGTGAAGTTCAGTGTAATTAGTGTGACTGGGCTTATGCTAATGTTTCCCTTGTTAGTTCTATGCAACACTAATGTTTTAAAACAAGGAGCAGGTTGCAGACCCTAAATATCTTTTATTTAAATTAGAAGTAATTGTTTTAGTGATATACATCCAGTTAGAAGATATCGTGCTAAATGATTACAATGAAAATGTTACAAAGCGGGCTGTAATATACCCAGTACAGTCTCCACTATTGAGGTCAAGTCTGTGTTTTTTTTTATATTTGCACATTTAAAAACATGATATGTACACACTTGCAAATACACACTTGATCTATATATGCTCCAGTATACATGAATATAAAGAAAAGTAAAAGTAAGGGCGGGTAGAAAACTAAAAGCCTTGACCGCTCCTAAAAACTCAACAAAATAGTATAAGATTACTTTAAATAACAGTAATGAAAGAAAAGAAAGTCAATCAACACTGCAATTGGAAAGTTACCACTGATTGTTATCGTGTTTTTTTAAAAACTCTGTGCAATTCTTCAAGCAAATAACTTTCTGCAGGTGGTGGGGACAGGTATGCTGGTTTTGTGTATCCTTGCTATCATCGATGATGGAAACATTGGAGCTCCCAGAGGCATGGAGCCGCTGGCCATCGGCCTGATCTTCATGGCCATTGGTGTGTCCATGGGACTGAACTGTGGCTACCCCCTGAACCCTGCCAGAGACCTGGGACCCCGACTGTTCACGGCTATAGCAGGATGGGGGATGGAGGTCTTTACGTAAGTATTCAGCTGAGGAACACAGAATGTTTTATTTTTATTTTTATTTTTATATTTGTCAGTTTTTTCCCAGTGTGTCTTATATTAAGATAATTGTGTGACTTTTCTTATGTGCCTGAGCTGAATCAATTACAGGGAAATATAATATGTATGATTAATAAGTCCATAAAATGAGAACTGTACTGAATTATGGAATATATTAGTATTACAGCTAAATGAAAATGATGTAACTTTGTTCATATATATGGTGAACTATATTGTATTAGGCTTCGGATGGTATCCATAAAATGTTAGATGTAGACTAATGAATTGTAATCCAGCTACATTATAGTAAGGGTGAAACTCATGTTCATAATGCAGATCATGGTTTTTGAGAGAGAATAAATGGAAAAATAATTGTCAGTAATTTATGTTTAGTTTTATGTAACTGAGATATGTGTGTTTTGTATTTAAATAATTCTATTTAAAGAAATCTGATTATTATAGACAATCATTTAGTAGGTTATAGACTTTTAATCCATTGTATGTTTACATTGTGTGCATTATGGATAATTATACTGTACATATGTTTGCCTATCTGTCTCTGAAATTAATCCTTTTCTTTTACATTTAAAGAGATTTCTATGGCACAAGCTGCTGACACAAACTAGGATGTTAGATACTCATCACATGCACTTGAAAGATGCTGTCAATGCTTGTGAATGATCCAGCAGCAGCACCAGTGACCTACAGTGGCCTCTTTCTCAGCTTTTTGAGTGAGTGCCAGAGATCAATCAAACTCTTTTTATTTTGTCTACTTTGGTGTTCACAGCACTGCAGACTACTGGTGGTGGATCCCTGTGGCGGGACCCATGGTGGGGGGAGTTGCTGCAGCCGTCATCTACTACCTGCTCATTGAGCAGCATCACCATCACGATGAGCCCCAAAAGCCCCAGGAGGATGAGGAGGAGGAAGACGAGGAGGAGGATGAGGACAGCAGTCTGAGGGACAAATACGAGATGATCTCCATGAACTAAAACTGATGTCAACCTCCAGAACTGACTGGTCAGATTCAGCTGTTTTACTGTCAGTCAGACGACAATAGCTCAGCACAGTTTACATCTGTAAGGACAGACATCCATTAATAAACTGCCTGACTTTTAATATGCTTTATATATACATATATATGTGTGTGTGTGTGTGTGTGTGTATTGTAAACACTGTATTGTAATTATTAGCAAAAAATACCCTTCATTTGAATGTAAACTTTATGTCAGTTTCCTTTAAGGTTTGCTCCTGTTTTATTCACTGGTTGTCATTATCTGTATATTCAGTTAAAAGTTTTTGTTATTTTTTGGTTCTACCTTGTCATTATTTTGTTAAGAGATATTTCACTTCAGGGACTTGTTTTTCTTAAATGCTGAGATGCCATCATCTGTTGTGTTCTGCAGTTACATAGACTGAATTTGTTGATTTGGAAAACCATATTTCCTCCAAACCCACACATCCTAAATAATGAATACAGTTTTTGCCCTCCAACAGGCACTTTAAAGTCCCTCGGTTTAAAAGGAACAGGCTAAAAAACTCCTTTGTACATCATTCCATCCTGCTGTTAAACCAAAAGGGTGTCGCTATGTAAGATCTGTATCAGAGAACATGAGTGGTGTGTTTAATTTTATTTTGTTGCCAGCTGTTATCCATCCATCCATTATCTATACTGCTTATTCCTGAATAGGGTTGCAGGGGGGCCGGAGCCAATCCCACAACCCCAGCTGACATCGGGTGCGAGGCGGGGTCCACCCTGGACAGTTCACCAGTCTATCAGAGCTGACATGTAGACAAACAACCACACTGAAGAAGAGCTGACAGGCTGCACAGCACAAACAAGGAAAAGTTCTCAGAGAGCTGGGTCTATAGAAAAACATCAATGCTGCCAACAAGTTCAGTATGAATACTGTTTCAGCAAAGCATCCGTTACCTTCAACTGAACTGATAAATTCTTTTTAATTGTAAGGACCTGTGTCTGTAGGTTTGAATTAAAATGAAAAGACAGAATAATATTGATAATGACAGATGATAATTCTCCAAGTGGTAGCAGTGCATTATATCTGAATTTGACTAAATCTTCTCAGAATGACTGAATGGAGGAATTATTTCTTTGTCTCCAGTGTATTTCCCTCTTTATTTTGCAGTCTTCAGGGTCAGCTGCTCACTGGGGCGAGTGTTGGCTGCCACTCAGCTCAGTCTGGATATCACAGACCGGTGCTACTATGACAATCATGCTTTGTCACTGCGAGGAGAGACAAAAGGTACTGCTCGCCTATGGGCCGTGATGTCAGCTTCTAGCACAGAGCTGACACTCTAAATGGAGAATATTGACCAGGATTAGTAATACTGGCACAGGCAGAGTGGCATTAGCTTGAAGAGAACTGTGGGAAAAAACAGACCACAGCATCAGTAATAAACACTATTAAAAAAAGAAACAATGAACACAGAAAATTGTTGAGTGTGACTGTGCTCATTGATGTCACAACTAGTGACTGCAATTGAGGATCTACACTGAAAATCAATAGCAGGCCACACTCCATTGCATGTGCAACTGTGCTTCAACGACCTGATGAACACGTTCCTATAATTGTTACATCATCAAACATTCACCAGGAAAAAAAATCATTAGACAATAAATAATAAAGTAAAATGTTTACTTGGGCAGCTATGTTGCTAAAGATAAAAGTGTCGGAACAGCTGTGTTACTTCCTAACTTTACTCACATACACAAAGCTTTACTGAGCGCACACGAAGTTCTTAGGTTGAAGTTGTTGTCAGTAATTGTTAAAGTACTCTTTGATGGAAACAGAGCAGCTGTCTGTGGCTTCCACTGTTTTTTTTATAAATCCTCTTTGCCCATTAGAATATAAATGGATGATTTATTGTTATTGTCAAACTAAATATCCATTAGGAAATCTCCCACTATTATTTCCATGGCAGTTGTAGTCCTCCATATGTTAACCTTTTCAAAGGGGTGTGATTGCACTTCCATGAATTTGGGAAACTTGCAAAAAAGAGATTGCATATACATGAAAAGGAAAGATTATCCAGACAATGCTGCAATCACTTTTTCCTGTTGTTGCTCAAATAAGGCCTTTACTTAGTGGGCTTTGAATTTTAGCAAAAAAGTTACAGAAAAGTAGAATGCCAAGATATTGAGTTCATCAAAAGCAGTTTCAAAAACAATGAAATCCTGCACTTATATATGGACGCGTCTTTCAAACTTTACAACACGAGTTTGAAACAAGCCTTGTCTTATGCACTTTAAGTCTGAAGCTCAATGTAAACTGGTCTACATGTGTTAGTGCAATGTCCCTGTAAGTGCCTCCTGTACACCTGCACAACACTGCCCCCAGTGGACAAGAAAGGACAAAGATTGCACACGTTACAGACAGTAAACAGGGGTCTATTTTATTTTGAACAAGTCTTTTAATTAATGCATTTCAAGTACTCCAAAAATTACATCTCTTTGCACAATACAATTTTATTTTTATTTTTTTTTAGTAAAAATGTTCAAAGTGAACAAAAATTTCCGATACTGTATAAAACACAGTGAACATTAAAATCAAACAGTAGTTTTACTTTTTAATCTCGTGTTCTTTCGGCCTACATCACCTACAACATTTCAACTCAATCTGGACATTTTCAGTGCACGTTTAGCTAAAAATTTTACCAAGACTACGAAATTAAAAATAAATGTACAGGCATTATTCTTCTGCTCTTCTACCCAAACCATGCCACAGGATAACAAAGACAAAAAAAATGAGAATGTAACATTAATAACTCCATCACACTGATTTGTTTTTACCATTGATGATGGTGGAGAAAAGTATCGAGCAAAGCAAACTCCAGTTCAACTAGCACATATAAGAACATAAATAACTTAGAAGAGAGGAAAGTTTGTCACATATGAACATCTTTGAACAATTTACTGTGGAATTAGAATTTTAAAAAAAAATTAACAGATGTATCAAAATTTTCATTGTCAAATGAAATGCAAATTTTTGAAGTACTGTACAAGTTTACATGTTAATTCTCTAGGTCTAACAGGTGTGATCCAGCCTAGGAGATTCAATTTTAAAAGCTCCATTTTGTACAGTCATGAGAAGTTGCAGAACGCACCAACCTAATTCGACTGCCATGTGAAATAAACTGCTGACTGCGAGACTCTTTCACTTCAAGTTCCCTCAAGAGCACATGTGTAATTATTATGACCACTGGGATAGAGTTGTAATACATTAGCTGTAATCAGAAGTGCATGCATGTAAAAATAATAATGCCAGGATAAAATAAAGTCAGAGCACAAAAACAGGTCCTTTGCCAAACATAATGCAAAATTCGGAGCTTTTTCAGTCTGTGCCAAAGTTTGCTCCCACATATCAAATCATTTTGTTGGGTGAAATACTTGCACAGTAAATAAATCACAGTATTTTGCATAAAACATCATGAAAAGATTATGAAATCCTTACAGTTAGTGTTATTTTCCAAAACGTCCTTCATGCTTTGCTGCAGCGAGAGGAGGAAGAAAACACCTGAGGTCAAACAATCCCACAAAAAAATAAACTATAACGTCTCCATCAGTTCTTCCATTTAAAGTGGCTCCAGAAACCTCACTGGTGTTTTAGAAAACCTGTGCGCAGAGATCAACTTTATGGAGTTTTATGGCACGCTGAATGAAATTCACACTGAGGCCTGCACCCATGAGCTCTTAAGGAGATTCAGTCCACAATGTGATCAGACCAGGAGAAAACTGTAGGCGATTAAAAAAAAAAAAAGTTTTAACTGCTGCTTTTCTTCAGCAAAACTAGTGAACACACTGGTAAAAGTGTTAGTGAATAGTGTGACAATACTGCTGCATTAAGCTGCTCCTTCCAGGTGTAAGACTAACATTAATAGCTGTCAAAGTAAAGAGTGTTGAGTGACATACAAATATTACAGACCTCGGTCAATTAATAGTCACATTTAATAAATGTCTGCATGCCCACATTGAAAATGTCTTAGATTTGCTATCTTCAAAAATAATAGATTGATTTAATCTTACTTTTTTTTTTTTATACATCCACACTGGAGTCATTTTTTATTTCCACACATGTAAACTAACTCTGTAACATGATGCACTCTCACTTCTAAATTAACCTTCACTTTCCTTTGTCTTTAAATCGGCTTCAGTTAGTGGTTATTCTTCCTTCATCATCAAGAACAAATGGGTAGAGGCGATAGAAGATGTACCAAACTTTGTTCCCATGACTCTCTATACCTCATCTAGCTTGTTACACAACATGAGCAAAACACGTTAGCAAGACAATTTAAAATAAAAGAAAAACAGTGACCTCAAACAAGGCCTAAAAAGTGGGATATGGTGGCCTTGTTCAAATTTGAAACCTAGCAATCTAACAAAAGTGAGAGAGATCCACCTGATTGGACGACTGCGAAGAGAACTTGGTAGCCACAAATCCTCAACAGTGATGTCCAAGGAACTCATCACAACTGTCACTCCTTCATTTATGTGTTAAGAGTCCTGAGAGCACTAACCAAAAAAATTAAAGAAAATAAGTGAAGAATTACACATTTACAGTAGAAGAAAGTTTGTTTTCACTTATGATACACTAAATATGTACAATCACATGCAGAAGACCGTCTGCACAAGAGACCGGAGCCTGTCTTTAGCCTTTTGACATGTTTAAATCACAAAAGTGCCGCAAATCTTCATTTAGCATCTCTCTTTCCTGGCTAGGATGGCGAAAGAAAAGCATAGAACAATTCACCAGCAGCCACAGGCGTATCACTCAAGAAGATGTTGCAAAAGAAAAAAAAACAAACAAACAAACAAAAAAAAAAAATCAATCACAGAATGGACTAAAGCTACACAAATTGTTAACTCCTTGGCACTCCTTCAAAAAGAAAAAAAGTGGAAAAAGATGCTAGATCGCACTGGATTGGAAATGGCTGATGGTCAAATCCACTCCACAAAGAGCCAATCGAGATGCTAGATAGCGTTTTCTGTTTTTCACGCATCTGTTTTGTCTATAAAATGGAGGATATGATGGTGACTAACAACCATGTCAGGCTTTTCTTTGGATGGAGTGACGCTTTTGTTTCCCACTGTAGGCACAAGAAGGAGCCAAGGCATTGGAGGGAGGCTGGGTGGGGTCCAGGGTCTCAGCGTCTCATCTGGCCCATCTGATAGTTCTCTCTGGGCTGACGGTGGTGCCTCTGGGGCTGTGCCTGGCGCTGAGGCTGCCTCTGGGGTTGCCGCTGGCCGCCGTGTCCACCGTGGCCGTGCTGGTGAGAATGTGGGTGCTGAGACTGCTGCACCTGAGAGCTGGCATGCTGCTGCGCTCGCCGCCTCTTCAAAGTGCCTGTCAAGAGAAGGGCTACTAGTTGAGCTTGTTGAAAGACAGACCAAGATCAACAGTTTACTCCAAACACAATCCATTTAATTTGGTGTCATTTCTACTGTAGGAAATGTTATTTTCAGCTTAATGTGATAAACTGCTTTTCCTTGGGTATGACAAGATGTTCTTTGTAAACCTCTGGACTCACCTGGAAGTGGTTTGGGAGGGGGAAGTTTGGGGTTACTGCTTGGTGTATGCACACTACAGATCTTAATGAAACCAGCCATGAGCATGATGAGGGCGATGCCCATCAAAAGCACTGCCCACCAATGAGCCTAGAGAAGAGAATGAAACCCACAAACACAACCAAAAAGAGAGAACACCTCATGATAACTACTCATCCAATCTGAATCAAGAAGTTGACACATACCACAATCCACTCTGCAATATTCTCGTAGAGCTCCGGGTTGAAGATGGCCTTCTTTAGCCTGGCCAGTGGTCCGTCTGCATCCACCAGACGACACTTCATGAACACGTCACAGTAGCCCTTGAAATCGTTGCAGGGTGAGCCGGCTGGCAGCGTGGTAACTTTCTTATTGAAGAAACGAGCCAGGCGCTCTGATCCGGTGCTGCTACATGTATTGGGATTCACTGTGGAGAAGAATCAGACAGTCAACACATAGTCAAATGACCAAGACAAAATCGCAAGCATATTTTATTGAAACAAAAAACTGGAGAAAGGGTAAATCACTCACTCTTCTCCATGCAGCACACATGGCAAAGCTCAGTCTCGTCCTTGCCGTCTTGGCTGGCACATGTGCAAGCCTCGAGCCCGTACTTCTTGCAGATGGAGCCAGAGCAGCCCTGCGGGGGTTGAGCATGAGGATAGGCGAGATCAGACACCGACTGGTATGAATATGAAGTTGCTATAACAACCAGTTCTTCCAGGGGTGAAGCCTTCCACCACTCACCCCGTTGAGGCAGACTTGGGTCTCTCCATGGCAGGCGGTGAAGTTGGCCTTGGGCTCAGATGCGGGGCACTGGGCGCTGACTCCGTTACACATGCCCTGGTGAGCGCACTCCGACTCCTCCCTGCACTTCTCATTATGGCCCTTGTAAGTGCATTCGGTAGTACAACAAGGACCCTGGCTGGGACTGGTAGTAAGGAGACAAGTGCCGAGTCAAGAACAAGCTGGCAGATCTTCCTTATGGAACAACAAAATGATCGGGCAAATGGAAACTGAAAAATAAAATCCACATCTACCTGCAGACTTTGTTGGGCTTTAATTTGCACTTCTTATTGTCAGGCTGGTTGGCATCGTAGCAGCACAGGTCCCTGCACTGGTCACTGTAGCCACAGTCACACTCCTCTCCTGGCTCCACCAAGCCGTTGCCACAGATGGGCTGGCCAGACTCTGTTTGGGCGAGGACAAATTAACAAAACTACAAGTCTACAAGAAATCAGACATTTAATATGAAAGCTGTCTCATCACAAAACCAAACTGAACAAATATTGTTGTAAGAGAATGAGCTGTTGTGAGACAAAATCAAAGTGTTCAAATAGAAAAAGACTCTTGGGGGATCCCATTGCAACACTGAACCCAGACAAACACACTCAGTCAGGCAGTACAAGTGTGACAAAACAGTTTTTGGAAACTAACGCCAATATCTGAGATTTTCCCACTAATAACTGCCAAGACTGATTTGCTTGAGGCTGCATGAGCAAACAGATGAGGCTCTTTACCAATCTTACAGTTAAAATGAGTGGTTAAAATGTGTCTTTATCATGTTGCTGAAATGATATATAAAAAAAAATATCACAAATAGTGGGATTCCATCACCTGCCAAATGCTGTCAGTAAAAATAAAACTGGACTTGTGCCAATATCGTATTTCAAATCTGAGAGTCATGGTGCATTTTTAGTTACCCACTCTCCCACCACAGCACTGCAGTTAAAAATCTCCCACACTGTAAGTACAGGTAAAAATCAGAGCAATATGGTGGTTTCTATCGACATGTCTGAATCAAAGCTCTCTATAGACACTCAGGTTAAATGTCCAAGGTCCAACACAAAAAGTAAAACGTACCAACAAAGCAGTTGCTTCTCTTTTTTTCCAGCACCTGGCTGATGTTACGAATGCTACAGATGGAGAACTTATTGTTATTGAGCTTGTCTCCTGATGTTGCTCTTGCATACATTATATAATTGCCCTTCTCCTTCTTGTCTTGGCTTTTGGATTCCCCTGGGGTGCACTCAGATCCGGAGTCATGCTGAGAACAGGAAAGAAAAAGCATTCAGAGGTTAAAAGAGGAAGGGACCAAGTGTACATTTCTTCTCACTACACATAAATGTGGCACATCTTTAACTCACCGGGGAGCCAAAGTTGTGTCCTACTTCATGTGCAAAAGTGATGTGGGAGACTTTTGGAGGTACGTGGGAGGCGTAGTTCTGTACAGTGATTATACCAGTGTTGAGAGACTTCTTTTTTCCATCAGAGTACAACTTGCTTTTTTCACAGATGCCTCCGGAGCTCCCTGACAAGGAAAAACAAGTTGGAGCAAACCTTCTTCCAAATCACAGCTAAAAAACAACAACAACAACAAAAAAACCTGAAAGATTGTGCTCATTAAAGAGGGTAAATGTGATCAATGCCATGGGAGTTTTTCCATTAATGTACAGATGACTTCACATCTTTCACTACCTGAGGGGGCTCCCACCCATGCCAAACCCAACACCCCGTCATCAAAGTCTCTGTCGGTGAAAACATAAGCCAGGCAGTAGTCATCGTGGTTCTGCTCCGAGTTCAGCTCCAAGAACTTCTCCACTCCGATGTTGGCAAAGCGGAATGGGTTGGACTTGTCCCTCTCATCACTAGTAGTGTTTATCTACATGGGGAGGTTATGATGAGTTCAGACCAAATGTAAAGTGTAAACTTGGCATCGCCCAATCAACACGTGGCTCACCCTGATCCGCTTCACCATGAAACTGATGTTGCGAATACCCATGAAGTCTGTGCCCTGATAGATCGCATCAATTGCCTTCACATGACTGGAGATCTGGAGGAACAAGATGCAGCAAAAGGAATTTTTTGCTGTTGATCCTCTATTGCATAGTGTTATGACTCACTCCTTACACTGAATAAGAGGTGTTATTATTCCAGTAAAAATTAGACGCTTCATACTAAAGAGCCATTACTGCTGATTAAAAATGTGCCTCTGCAGCAACTTCACTACACAGAAATCCTCCGTACTGACTGGGTACATCTAATTTTACAGCACCACACTAGCATGTGTCCAGTGAGTGGCAGTGAATGTGCATTTACCTGAGCGATGACGGCCTCTCTGGTCTTGTAGTACTTGTAGAAGAGGTGGTCAGTCTGAATGAAGAGCTGGCAGGTGTTTTTCTCAGCCTGGGCCATCCTCTTCTTCCTCAGCAACACAGGGTCATTAGAGCCTCCCTCAGTGTGGAGCTCCTGGTGGAGGTATCACAGGGAGAGACAGTCAAATAAAACATACAAATATATAGATTAAAATTTTAAACCAAACAGAGGCTAAAATAATAATTCTTGTTTTGTTTTTTTAAGGCTGCTCTTTTTCTTCTGCCATTTGTTCATGAACTGCAGCATTGATGTTCCCACGTACTGCATGTCACATACAAGGATATGGTGGTGGAGGGAGAAGAGAACAGAATGATACTAAAATGTCCTGTTACAGGAATGATTTGGTTTGGGGGAAATGTCTTTTTTTTTTTTTTTTTGACTCAGCCCAATGCATGCCTGTCTCGTTGCGTGCAGTTTGAAGTAGCTCCAGTTTGTCTTCCATGTATTACCACTACATCTGAGTCACAGAGCATCTGATTTTCCTAACAACAAATACCCAGCAACCTTTGAAAAACCCAGAGTCTTTTACCAATACTTAAGCTGAGGGTTTTTCCAGAAATACTGTAATAAATAAAATATACTGATAAAAATGACTTTATTTTGGATCCACTTCCTTTTTACAACAACATACCACTTAGCAGGTCATATCAGTGCTACTATAGCTATTCTCTATTGTGGTTACATCTGAACATTCTGACTGAGGACTGAAGACAGTGTTCAGTGTTGCTGTCTGGCTGCTGCCTCTGTTATGAGTAAGACCGAGGCTGCAGTGTTCTGTACACAAGGACATTATGTCTACATACTTTGATATCAAGATTATAAGTAGGGAGTGCTCTTGCTTTAGTTTGCTCTTTGCTGTAAAAACATATTGCTTTCTGAATGCACTGAGCCAGATCTTGTATTCTTGAATTTATTATTTTAATATTTCCATAACAACTTCCATGGGATAAATACTTTTGTGGGCATTTGCTATTCGATGCTATTTATTCTGTATTTCCAGGCTCTGAGTTTTAAATTTGAAACAGAAAACCAGGCATCTGTGTGCACAAACCTAATCTAAAGTGAAGTATAAGACTTTGAGCAAAGAACAGCTACCAATTACTCATGTAGACATCCATTCATTGAGCAGATACAGGCCAGTCTCACCTGCTCAAACTACACACGGAGTCTTAAAGGAAAAATTTCCTCAAGAACCACTGGTCACTGTGAGAGTTTGTTGTGATGTGTGGTGGAGTTCACCTTGGGTGCTTCCTTTACAGCAGAGCCCTGGTACTTCCTCATCTTTTCAAACACTGAGCTATCAGCACAGCCTCCCTCTGGACCATATTTGTGTGGGTAATCTGAGTGAGAGAGGCAGACACAACGCTTAGGATTATGGGAGACAAAGTTAGCTACTTAAACTCTTGGGCTTCCCTATTGCTGGAGCTATTCATGACAAGCTAATGGATGCTTACATGCTTACATGCCACTTGAGCCTAGCTTTGCTGTGTGAGCTGTTACCTTTCTGTTGCTCTCATTAGCTATTTCTGCCACGTTTCTGTTTAATTTGCCCGACAGCCATATACTATATGTACACAGAAGATTTGAAATTACAGGGTGCCAGTGTGGTGAGGTGTATTTGGTACTCACCATCAGTGCCAACAGTGTAAAGACAGTACCAATATTGTAAAAACCGCTTAAATGAGCCAGTAGCCCGAGAGAAAGATCGTGTTACTCAGCTAATGAGCAACCTGGGTATCTCTGCCCCCTGGGAGATGATCACACCAGTCTGTCTCCATCAGATCAGCTGCCCTAAGCTTTACTGATCACACATTTACATCTGTGTGCATCCAGAAAATAGGCTGCCAAAGTGTTTCTGTAGTTGAAGTTGTTGGGGACTCACGTATGTCATCTTCGTGGTAGATGACAGAGTGGAATGGCACATTTTTATCCTCCAGGTATCTCTCAGCAGGCTCCACATAGTAGGTACCATGGTAGCTCTGAATGAAGCCCTCAAACTTACCATCCACAATGGAGCCATGAGTCAAGGTACCTTTCTCACCTGGGAATCCAAATTACAGAGGTATAGGTGACAGGGGATTCAGAAGAACAAGATTAACAGCAAAATGCCCAGGGCTGCATTACTGCTTCCATTGTTAAGAAATACAACGAAACAAATTTGAATGACGAGGACAGTCTCACCGTAGATTTCTCCCGTGTAGATATGAGAGGTATCGTATGGAATCTCTTCTCCTGAAATGTCCACCTTTAAATCTTGGGAAAACAAGGTGGTATCTCTCCTCATTCGTAAATTAAAATGTCTGAAAGCAAAGAAATAAAACAAAAGACATTGGAATGTGATGATACAGGTTACAAAGAGGAACAGCTGTTATGTGTATTCCGAGATGTTTGTTTTCTTGAGGTCTCAAAACTGTCTTATTTATTCATGTCACACACTGTGGCCTATGGATTTGGGTGTGGACCTGACTTTGAGCTCACTTTAGGAGGTTAGCAATATTTACCCAGCCTTGGAGAAAAAGGAAAATGCAAATGAAAGGGGTCAAAGGGGTCAAAGCAAGGGCAGAGCTTAGCAGAGTATAAACATCTGAGCTATTTTCTGTTGCACAAGGAGGATGTGCAGTCTTCATCTTGTAAGAGGGAACAGAATATTAGGACATCTTGACACAATGATGATTTTGTTGATCAAACATATGTCAGGGAAACAAAGCTGATACACGAAACCTACACAGTGCTCTTTCTGTATGCTTCTATTGCTCTATAGGTCAGTGCAAAACAACTAAATTACCTGGAAGAAAACAGTGAGCTTTGTAAAATCTAGATCTGAAAAGTATGATAAAACTCAAAGCTATGGCCCACAAATCTCATCCTGTATGTGTACAGTACCTTCTGCATGACAGCTGTTTTCTGTTATGCCTTAATGCAAGATACAAAGATGATTTAGCTGGAAACTTCAGACAATTTGTTCAAGTCAGTCAAAAAGAAGGTGGATGGTGTGCTGCAATTACATGCAAAAATTACTTGCTTTGTTGTGAAATCAAAAGGAAAAGAAGCCAACATGTTCCAGCTTTTCAAAGAAACAGACATCTTCTTTCCTTGTGCATGTTAACACAGTTCTTATCCTTCTCTCCCTTAATAACAAACATCAGAGTTTGAGACCGGCAGGCTGTGCTAAAGGCAGGGTGATGAACAGCCTTTGCCAAGCTCCAAGCCAGATGGCCTTGACTTTGTCATGGTGAGTGAAGACACTTCATCAAGCAGCACTACCTCTCCAAACTTCTGGGTAACAAGGAAAATATGCATCCATGCAACCATCTTCTTTACTTTAAGAGATCTCCCTCCCAGCTATCATGCGTACAAAAACACCACAAAAGGACCCAATCCATCACAGGTCTAGCTAACATAGACATAGGTCATAATTTGCATGACCTGCAATAATGTAAAATGAAGCTGTATTAAATGTAAACAACTTTCAAACACACTGCAAATTCCACCTACACCTGACCTCAACCTTTAATTATAAACAGTACAGGCAGATGAGATGAGCTCTGAAAATACATAAACACTGGTAAATAATGAGATAGATAAAGAGACTGAGGCTCAAACAAAGTTTCCCTTTAGGTTAATATATGAGAAAAAACACAAACCTTCCATGTGCATGAAAATCTAGCTGAAGGAACCTGTCTTCATGAGAGAGCGCCCTCTTGGCCCTTTGATGCTTGCTGTGCATGAGCTCTGTATCGTAGGAAAGGCCTTCATAGTGATGGATGTACTTGTTTAGGGGATTTCTATAGTGTCCTGTAAAAAACAACAAACAAACAAAAACAAAAAAAACATTGAAAATCTTATTAACAAATATAAGGAAGATACAATCTCATTAAATACTTATGCTAACAAAATGATAGCAGTTGTTCCAAGTGTCTCATTTATGCTAGGTTTTATATTTACAGTATGTACCGCATATAACCATAAATAACACATGTATATAGATTTGCCTGAGAACTCATTGCACAGATAATGAAGACAATAGAACGGCAACATAAAATATACATATTAAAGACTATCAAATGTTGGGGACAAAGAGGAGAATCCAAATCCATGTCTGTAACAGCCTTAGTATCACAGTGTGTCTATAACATCAACCAATCTGAGCAGATGGCAGATAAACACAAACCTGTTTTGTAATGTCAGGCAATTTGAGTTGTTAAAGTGACAGAGTATAACATCCAGTTTTTAGAGTAATTAAGTTAGGCATAGTACATGCTAGGATAGTTTTGGTGATCCTCTCAAAGAAGAGATGATCTGGCAGATATTTGACAGTCAGGATTAAAATGATGGAAACTTGCAACAAACCACTATGGTCTGTGTTTTACAATTCAGCTAAATCTATTTAAGTCAAATGGATGCTGTGCTCAACAACAGCCCCCAACGTCACAGCATAATTATTTCACCACCAGAAGAGTGGGTGGTGGGCTTGAAGGAAAACGCTTCGAGCACCTCCAACCATTTCACAAACTGCTTCACACTCAAAAGCAGAGTGACAAAACTACACTTCAAGAAAACAGTCATTTCATTTAGGCCATTTAAGCCCTTCTGAAAGTTACATCTGCTTAAATCTTTGCCCCGTAACATATAAACCATTACAATGTGTTTTGAGTAAATTCAGTACATATAATTAGTACTGTCTGCTAGGTAATTATGCCTGACTAGTGAGCCATAAATTACAGGATTCGGTGCAACTAGTAACAAATATGGGTAAAGCTGAGCAACCTTCAGTTAGTTCTACATTGATGTACATCATGAAATATTTAGGGGCTGACATTAAATTTTTCATTGAGGGGAATATAACATGTGAAGGCCATGACTATTAAACACCTCTCAGGGTCCACATCAAATAAGACCAGCATTACACAAACACAAGGACTCCCAATTCTTATATTTCTGTGAGAATAAAAACTATCCGAGGCCTTTAAAACCCTGCAGAAGGTTTATAAAATTATATGATGAAGCCCAATCTAATACATATGTTGTAGTATTTAACACCATGAAATGGTCAAATAATGTGAACGAATTGTAGCTAGTTGCTATTTTTGACAGTTTGACAAGGGATGGGGTTTGACAATTAGAAAAGATGAAAAAAGCCACTACAAGTGACTGCAACTTATTTCCAAAATATCTAATCCAACGTTATTGCAGCCGACGATATATTAACTTGGAAAACAGTGAAAAACTGTAATGACCAGTGGCAACACAAAAAATAAAATCATGACAACAAACCTGAAAACTTGTATGCAAACTGCATGTTAAACACCGGCCTGGTTCAGGTAACAGAACGTCTGCGGCTAAACTTACAATTTGGACAAAATCGCCAACGCTAGTGGCTCAAGTATCGGCACGAAGCTAAACGGTCCGTTAACCGAGAGTCGGCATCACCATCTTCTCATAACAATGGCTGTCGCCGCTATTCGCACGATAACAACAAAACCGAGCCAAACCTAGCAATAAAACCTGTGACAACACACAGAAATAACTCAGCAATATGTGTTTATTTCAAACAGCTGCGCGAAACAAATACATCTGATACGCTTCGCATAATTTGTTGGCTAGAAGTAATACGGCAAAAGGGTGCAGTCCGCTTCATAACAAGCAGGCCCTGCTGATCCCTCCTGTTAGCTAACGGGCTATCAGCGTTTCTGCTCCTCTCAGCCGCTGCTTCATAGATTAAACACAACTTGTAAGATTTTATCCGGAAAAGCCTCACTCACCTTGGGTGTAGTTTAGTAAGTAGACGAAGAGGAAAACTTTAAGAAACATATCGGACAAATCCATTGTTAGAGCATTGATACCGTTTTCACTTTATTGTCCTACTTAGCTAGGCGCAGACGCCCTGTGTTTATTGCAGCTTCCTCTCATCTCTCCCCCTTTTTCCCCGACGTCGTGACGCCAGACGCAAGGACAGCTGGCACCCCTAATACATCCACGGTCCAGTCCTGCATACCTTGGCGCACTACGTGTGGCTAGGTGTAATGTAATGTGTGCGATGTGTACAGTACTGTTTCCATCATTACGGGTACATTCAAAATTAGGAAAATGTGGTCAGGATTGTATTTTAATATTTCAGTGACCACACAGTTCTTAACTGTGGAAGAAGTAACTACACCGCCGCTCAAAAGTTTTAGAACATTGCCTCAAGTGGCCCAATTTCAGTTACACCTGTGTTTTTCCTGTTATGACTTGCCAAAATGTCTGCCGAGAAAAAAGCTCTATACTGTTCTGTTAGATAGTACTGCTGCAGAAGTTCCCACAAATGTGTGATAACATTCTGATAAGAGCAATTTGGCATAATGAATACATGAAACACATTTTACTGTCAATACTTTTGCTCAACTAGAATTATCAGTGCATTACTTCACTGGCAACAGAATGTTTTTAAATTGTGGTAGTGCTAAGCAAAAGTCAGTACATCTTTCGTAGCATATTTTAATTTAGTTCAGTGGAACATCTTTTTGGCATTGTTACATACTTTATAAAACAATCTGTTGATTATTTGATGAACAGAAAATGACTTGACAACCATTTAAACAAAAATGTTAAAACATTTTAGCTTCTTAACTGTGAGGGTTTGCAGCTTTCCTTTGTTGTGTGTGATGTTTCTTGTGGTAGGCAAACTGAGTGTTGATAAGACCAAATAAGCAATGTCATTATACCTTATTGGCCTCTGGAAGGTGATGGGCGTTTTCCATTTTTCTGACACTTTATAGACCAAGTAATTAATTAGTTAATAGAGACAACAGACAGCAGATTACTTGATAATGAAAACAATCATTAAGGTGCATTATTTCATTCTTGGTAGCAGGTGAATAGCGAAAGAAATGTATATTGATCTGTGTATTATCCCACTAATGACTTGCATAACAAACTCGTAGAGCTGTCATATAATTCGTAAGCAGCCAAATAAATGTGAGTTTGTGTTGCTTGGTAACGAAGAACCTGAGACTAGTGTGTTGCCAAAGAAAAGGAAACGCCATCAGTGTTGTGTGGTTGTTGGATCCATTTCCTGTCATGCATCAGCTCTGATTATCTATAAGTGAGCTCTTTCTAATCCTGGCAGTTCTCAGTAATGATCATCTCATGATGCATGTCTCAGTGTTGAAGACAGTGGTTTCCTGGGGGATAATACCATGTATCACAAAGCACACTCCTTGCCACAGCATTTTTATACTCAAATAGGAATTATAATTTAAGACATAAGGGAGATAGATAAATGCAAATTTTAGGTTGAGATGACAAGAATCAGAAAAAGCGCCCAAATATTATTTTATGAAACCATTGGCTGATGTTTATATTCACACCACACACTGATTAATTAGCAGCAAAGTCTTATCAGTCATTTCTTCTCTGTTTATTCCAGACGAGCTCCTCTGGCTCCAGTGGCTACCACGTGACACACCTCCACATCAGCCCCCAGTTTCTGCAGCTCATCCAACCAGATCTGTTGCTTCTGGGACAGCCGGTCATTGGGCCCCTTCACCTCCACCAGCTACAAACAAGAAGACATCACATGTAACATTGCACACTGCAGTATAGTCCATGTAACCATCCATCCATCCATTCATTTATCTATACTGCTTATTCCTGAACAGGGTCGCGGGGAGGCTGGAGCCAGTCCCAGCTGACACTGGGAAAGAGGCAGGGTACACCCTGGACAGGTTGCCAGTCTATCACAGGGCTGACATGTAGACAAACAGCCACACTCATTCCTAGGGGCAATTTAGAGTCACCAATCAACCTAAGCCGCATGTCTTTGGACTGTGGGAGGAAGTCGGAGTACCCGGAGAGAGCCCACACAGGCACAGGGAGAACAGAACCTTCTTCCTGTGAGGTGACAATGCTAACCACTGCGCCACTTCCATGTAACCAGGTGTAACAGATGAAAATATCAAATTCAAACAGGTAGGATGTGATGTGATCTCACCTTATAGGTGTTGTTTGAGGTGTTCCACACTACAAGGTCAGGCAAACCTCCACGGCAATGTCTGTAGTCTTTGGACATTCGTGCTATTACTCCTCCTAAGAAGGTTCCGCCCAGGCATGAGACGAGAGACTGCAAATATCGTTTAAAGTGGTGACATTAATACTGTGTTCAGGGGTTTTTCAGACGTTTTAGGTGCCTTTTTCCAACTAACTAGCTTCCCTGGCTAATGTAACTTTGCTAAATTCAGTACGTTAGCAATTTCTTTACTTGTAAAATAAGCTATATTCTACTGTCTCTATTGCCTATTGTTCCCCAACAAAGTTATAGCCTACTTGATGAATTCATTGAATTTCTATAATGTACATGACAGGATATGAGAATGAATACCTGTGCCTGTTTAAGGGATGAGAAACGCTCCCAGTTGACCAGTGAACACACTTTACCCTCCTGGCAGCTCCAAACATCCTCCAACATACTGTGTAGAGTCTCCACGGATGCCTCAGTAAGTAAATGAACACGAGAATCAATGGCCTCTTTTCTGTTCTCATAGAAACAATCGGTGTGAAGATCCAGTGGACATGTCTGTGAGGAAAAAAACACACCAGTTAAACTTGTATTGATTGACTAATATACAACATACTGTATCTTGTATAAAGCTTACTTTACCTGGTATTGGTTTCGAAAAACATCGGGGATACCCTCCATGAAAATGATGTCCCACATCAGAAGAGCAAACAATGTGGAGAATGTTGAGCCCTCTCCATGGATCCCTGTTGTTATACAAAAAATACACTATATTGTTGTTGCAATCAGAGAACATCTAAATTATTTTATTTTTTAATAGGAGAGAAAAGTTGTTTACCTTGGTCAAAACCTTGTTGGCAATAATGTGCTAATGACAGTTCTTCCACAGAACATATTACAGTGGCATCGATTCTCTCCTCCCCCTCTCCATTTGCTGGTAAAAGAAACACAGATTTTCCCATGCCTCCCTCATGGGGAAACAGCTGTCCTCGGATTGTCACCTGTAAACAGAAAAGTCCACACATGAAAATAACATCGTTTATTTAATACACTCAAAAATTAGCACAAACGTGTTTTTTTCCCCCCATGAAATCCAAATACTGACATATTGTTCAAAACTCACATGTTTTACATCTTGGACATGAACAGTGGGCACGTCTTTGAGTTGCAGGCGGTACTTCTTGAAGCTGGCAGACTCTTTCATCCTAACAGCCCTCTGATACAGGGAGAGTTTGTGTCCTGTTCGCACCAAATTGTCTGACAGCCCATCTCTGATAGCACAAATAGCCTTGGAGCAACGGGAAAATACCACACTCGAACATTTCTTACTGATCACAGTGTCACACGAGGAGAAAAATGATAACGACATCTCTGAGGAGTTGAATGGAACCACATATAATGGTACTCACTTGTTCAGGTTTCTTGAGATGCTGGTGAAGGTTTAGTGCTAGTCTGTCCCACCACCGCCCTCGGCTTTCAGGACAGTAAACTGACTGTAGCAGTAATGACTGCAGCTCCTCTACCGCTTCCTGTAACACAAAAGGTGATCCATGACATCTTTAATTATGACATACTCTTAATTTAAATGCTTAAATTTGAAGGGAGTGTGAGTGGATAAAGTCAGTACACCTCATACTGACGTAGCCTCTGCAAGACCTCCACCCCTCTGGAGAAGATACGAGTGTACGTCCATCCTGTAGTGAAGCTGCGCAGGAACACAGGCAGCTCCTCCTCGTGACTATTCAGCACAATGTCGATATTAAACAAACACAAGGGATTCTATTTGTCTTTTAGACAGAAGCAAATAAACACACTGATGTGCTTATCACCTGGGGTCATAGTTCTTCCTCAGCTCCTGCCAGGCGCTTTTGGCAGCAGTGTAAAGCTCCAGAGCCTCTTCCCAATGACCCGCCTGCATAGCTGAGATTAACTCTTGCAGGGCTCGCATCGATGCTTCATATCTGGTGTGATGGATGGATTCATGAGCATTTATTCCTGACTATCCTGCTCCAGTAATCTCAGTTTAACTCTTCTGAAAGGCCCTCACCTGATCAGGTCTTCTCTGTCTTGGAACACCTTGGCTGTACGCTGCACTGTGTAGTCTGGGAAGGCCAGACGCCCTGAGTTGACTAGCAGAATGGTAAAAAGCTGGCTCTGCCCACCAGCTGCCATCTCCTCCTCATCCATGGTGTCCGTCATAGAGAAGAGTAAAAGGATGCGAGAGAAGACAGCCCGAGGACCACGACACAGACGCACACAGGAACCTGCAAGTTGCTTTGCCCTTTAAAGTTAGAGAGAACAGGGGTGAGATGATCATTACAATGCTAGTACTGTGAACAAGCACAATGTATTTGGTCATCTCACCTTTTGAGAATGACGGGTTTAATGTTGTTTTGAGCTGAGGTCAGAGAGAAGAGGGACTTTTGCCTGCTCAGACGAAGAAGCCCATCCACTAGTTGCTGTTTCTGAGTCCCAGAATTGCCCAGATGGAAGGTCTTAGCTAGAGCTTTGAGTTCAGGAGCAGGCAGAAGATCCAGAGCCTCCCCTAGGTCCTCAAGATCATTCTCTTTGAGATACAAAATCAGCAAAGATCAGCATTAACAAGAGAAACTAAATAATGTACATTTCTGGAGTGATGTTACTTGAGTATAACATGCCCAGTGTTGCTAGTTATACACTAACTTCATCCATCTAACAAATGTCTAAGCAGTAAATAAAAAACTAGAAATATCAATAGTTTTCAACATGTAACATAATAATATGTCAACAATTCAAGAGGTTTCAGATAATTCATTTAGAGATGTTCTAAATATCAAAAATGTGTTAGTAATCATTTACCTGTCTGTAGAAAACTGCCTTCAACCAGCTCCTGAGCAACAGGTCCCAAATCATGACATATCTCTTCATAATCCAGTTTATTTACTTGAAGCCACTTCAGCTTCCTCTGAAAGAGCCTCACATATAGCTTCTGCGCCATGGCTATGAGAAAACACGAGCGATTAGGCTTTATTTTACAGTCAATTTTCAAATTATCTTTAATTACAATAAGTGAGTGATGTTCCAGCGTACCTGATAGCTTCTCAAATGCATGTATGAGTGACATATCATCCTGGCTGAACAGTGCCCTGTCATCCTCGTTCTCCAACACAGCCTGTAGTACAGTCCGGAAGTTACGGAGGTAATAGGGAAGATGGGAGCTCTGCACAGCCTGGCCGCTGGTGGGCTGTTCAGCACCGAACTCTGGCATTGAATCACTATTTACAAATGCAGTGCTTTTCTCATCTATGTCCTCTGAATTCAGAAGGAGGTCACAAGAGTTGCTAGAAGGCACCTCAGTGTTAAGCTGATCTGTATCAGTTGTCTCTGCTGTACTTTCACTAGGCAGCACCTCCTCCAGCTCTCTGCAGCTCTCCTCAAATTTTCTTCTCTTTCCGATACCAGACATGTTGCCAGTGGAAGTTGTTTCCTTTTTCCTCTTTACAAGTCTGGAGGAAGATGAGCGAAGTTTTGGGGTGGGGAGTTTTTCAGCAGTCTCCAATTTAGATGCTTTGTGTTCAAGATTATGTCCTTTTTCTGAACATGACAGCTCTACCACTGCTGTTGGGTTCTCCCCACTGGCTGCTGTCAAGTCTGTGACTGTCTCATAGTCTTTTAAATTCTCAATCATAGCATTTTCTTTCTGAGAGTTGTTCAGTGTGTCACAAGGATCAGTCTCCTTTTTGGAACATGTTGGTGCATGTGTATGGCCTGTTTGTGTACTCTCAGGTATTTTATGACACCTCCTGGATAACTTGGAGGAGAGACTTCCCAGGTCAATCGTCCTGACCACAGTTTTACTATTAATCTCCCGTGGTGCCTGCTGAAAGTTATTCTTTTTGAAATAAGGGCTGGTCTTGGTTTCTCTAATTACCTCTTCATTTTTTTGATCCAGGGACTTTAGGTGATTCCTTCTAGATGACAGCTGGATGCTTGGCACAACATTTACGCCTGCTGAGTCGGCACTGCTGTGTCTTCTCTCGAAGTTCTGACACTGCAAATCAATGTGCTCATTGATCCTGAATCTTGGTACCAACTGGCCACACAAGGGGCAGGCCAGCTTAGGTGGAGGCTGGCTGTTGAAGAACGAGGCGATTGAAGCAGCACTGGCAGAAATCCCAGCTTTGGTATTACCTTTTGTTTTGCTCCTGGACAAGGACAAACTTCGCTTAGGTTTGTCTTTGTTGGCTCTCTCAGACATGATGCAGGCAGTAGCGGTGTTGCTCGATAAAAACGTTTGTGGAAGCTTTTCTTTGTTGCATAATTATCAGTACAGACAGAACTGATAATGCTGTTTTAGCTAACTTAGCTCAGAAAGAGACGCGCCCTTTTAAATTGTCACGTATTTGTAGCTGTAGGTGTTTTACTCATACATTTGAAAAAGCCAAAAACATTTTTATACAGTCTGCGAATGCATCAAAACATAAGCTAACATTCCGGTAACAGCTGATAACAGAAGAACTGTGATACAATCCCGCTTCGCAGTCGTAACCAAAGGTGCACAGAACGCTTTTTTTAGGATGAATAATCGATCCCGACGACATCGATAATCAAAAACAAAAAACGCAAACGCTAAAATACAACATTTTTGATATAGATGTAGTTTATTTATAATTATATATTTAATATTAAAGTTAATTACAATTATATATATATATATATATATATATATATATATAAGCATACACGAATCGACCTTTTACATCATGAACTTTACATCCTAAACACCCCTACACTGTTTAAAATAGCTTATGAGAAATAGCTCTTGTATAAATGCTTTAAACTAATCTGATATGTGTCAGTTATTTAGGTGTATTCACTCTGTATGCTTCTTACAGGGTTTTGTGCTGGGGACCAGAGCTGTGAGGGTGTCTACTTTCCACACAGGTTCCTGGGCTGCTGTGCGGCTTTTATTCAAAAATCGCCATTCACTGAGAGCGATCTGATCTGATCGACACACGGGCATTTCAGGACAGCCGAAGACAAGACTGATGTTGGTAAGTGCCACAGAGAATTATCTATGTATAGATTGCAAAACTGTAATAGGCCTGTCCGAGTCTCGACAACAGAGCTGAAGACAATGCTGGATGTGCTCCTGTGGTACAACAACAGCACATAAGCTGGATGTCAGCATGGTGCAGTCTCGATGCTTCAATTCAAGGTCGATGTAAAATGCAGCAGCAGCAGCAGGATAATATGCTGCTTCCATATGGTGAAACTAGCAGCCTGTGGGTGGAGGGAGTCAGCTCCATCACTGCGTGCTAAGTGCACAGGGCCATAGCATATATCCGATTGTTATCGATATGTAGCCTGACGGGAATGCGGCGTCCACTTGTGGGGACACTGGACTAACCACAGAAACCACCACTGCAGCTGCGGCGAAAGTTCAGCCTAATGGGTTTATAAAATACCACCACATATACGTCAAGGGCAGGGCAAAATGTGTGAAATCCTAAGTAGTGAACTTCAGTTAAAGACTGTATAATGCCTATTTTTTAAATTAGCAGTAAAGCTCCACGGAGGGGTCATGATGATGTCTGCGTGTTATGTGTTGAACTGGGATTATAGGTTTTTGTCCTCATAATACGATAATCTCGGTCGCATTGTCATCTCACCCTCACTGGGAACGGTTGGGGTTTATTGTGTTTTAATGGGGTAAATCATATCCAAAAGCTTGAGCCCAAATAGCACAGTCGATCTGTTCTTCCAGCTTTAGCCATAAACCTACAGATGCCTCACGTTTAGATGAGGATGTTGATGATGACATTTTAGACTGGGTGGGTATCAGACCACACTGAGCTCAGTGTGAGAGCAGTAATGTAAACCTGTTAACTACTAATAAAGTGATTAAGACATTATTTCAATGGGTATTTTCTTTTGTTTACAATCATAAACATTGATTAGGCTTAGGCTTCTTCAAAATATTTTCCTCTGTCCTCCTGAATTTGTACTATATGTAAAAATAATGGGATGTTTGGATTGAATTGATAAATTCTCTATATTAATATTTTTTTACCATGTCCCTTTGTGTTTTATGATTTATATATTCTATGTTTGTAGTACCGTATGACTGCAGCTAATTTATTTTCATCCTCAATTAATGTGCAGATTATTTTCTTGATTAACTGATTAATCAGTTATCCTATATGGTGTCAGAGAATAGTTAAAATGCCCATAATGTTGTCCAAGAGCACAGCCTCAGATTGTTTGTTTGTTTTTGTCAGTCAAAATTACAAAGATACTTAAATTACTATCAAAGACTCAGCAAACTGACAAATATTCCTCTTTGATAGGCAGGAATAAGTGAATAAGTCAATGACAAAAATCACAAAAGAGGCTACACTTACAGTGGTTTTATAGCAGGTTCCCAGGTCTGCAGGACATCAAGAGCAAAATTAGAGCAGACACAGCAAAGATGAAGGATAACAAACATCAGCAGTCACAGACAAAAGGACCAAGGTGGCACATATGGATGTTAGGTGGCACAGAATTAATGCATGAATGTACATTATTGTGGCTACTGTTTGTCCTTGAAGTAGGGAATGTTTCTGTGTGCATTTAAAGTGTGAAACAAAGGCATCCTCTGATATAATAGTTGATCTCATTCCAAGTCTTTGGCCGTATGTTATTGAAATCTGGTACAGTGTGAAGTGTTTGAGAGATGCTCTGGGAGTGTGATGTTGTGTAGTGTTTTAATAGCTTAAAAGTGAACAAGGGAAGAGGTTGTTTTATAGCTGAAACATAACCTTAAGTCTCTCTCTTTCATACATACAGTACTATTAATGGAAGGGAGAGCAGCCAAACTTGTGATAATTCATTTCTACACTAGCTTAGTTACTCTCTCAACCTCTTCTGATTTGCAGTTGTATTTATTCATTGATTTTTCTGGTAGTGTGATGACAAGGTCAGTATGAGATTACAGAGAGAACATAATACAAGTATCTCAAAAATCTAATTTGAATATTTGTTAATGTTCACAGGGTTGAGGGTTGTAGGCTTACGGGGCCAGTTATGGCTCATGGAAGGAGGCCTGGAACAATTTCCAAAATATTAGCTTCCAGCCCTTCACTATGCCCCAGTCCAGGCATCGCAAAGCAGAGCCAAGAGCAGCAGCGAGGTTTGGTGAAGGAAGCATCTGAGCAACCACCTTGTAGCTTGAAGGATGATAACCAGGACCAGCTGACTCCTGCTGTTTATGCAAACCACCATTACAAGGGTTGTGACCTGAGTCCTGAGGACATGGAGGATAACTGCTCTGAGTACGACAACGTGAGCTCTGATGTCGAGCAGGATTATGATGAGGTGCTGCGTTTGAACTGCAAGGGCGTGGTGGACATGAGGTACTACAAGCAGTATTGTCCTGAAGGTGGCTATATAAAACAGGCAGTAGGTGGTAATGTTAATGAGAACAACAGTGCTGTTGACCAGTTCACTTCCAGATCTCGTCATACCACAGAAATATGTAAAGGATCACAGTCTGAGACGAAGCCTCACAAGGCAGGGCATCGCTTTAGGTCACCGTGCGCCCCACTCACAGGGGATGAAGCAGAGGGGGACATGGAAAAGGGCCAGGAGAACAGGTTCTGCTTCAGTGATGGAGATGAGATAGAAGTAGTGTTGGATGGAGCCAAATTTATTGAGGATTTAGAGGAGACGGAGAGCAGTGTTCAAAGACCAGTTAGCCTCTATCAGGGCAATGAGACTGAAAGAGTTAGAAAGGGAAGTGATGAAAGGGAAAGGGATGGCAGTCAAGTCACAAGAAACCATAATGTCCAAGGAGCTGGTAAAAAGTGTGAATCCTCGCATATGGGTTCAAAGGAGAAGGAGAGACAGGGTAAAGGGCGAGGGAGGATGGGAACAGGAGAAGGCACTGAGCATATGGTTTCTCAGATCAAGGCATCCACGACTAACACCACTGAACAGCATCCAAAGACACTGTCAAAGGACTACAAAAAGGCCGCTGTGCGAACCAAAACAAGATCTGGCTCCAGGAAGCAACAGCCTCCCCCACTACCTCGCCATTCCTGTGCTCGGTCACCTGCAGACACCCAAAAGGGCCAGCCTCACAGAGAGCCTCCTCCTATTCCCAGACCCAGTCCCTCCCCTGCTAACAGCCAGGAGAATGAAGCCAGGGTTATCAAACCATTGCTGGCTGCTCATCACTCACTGAAACAGCAGGGGGAGTCTCTTGAGGAGAGGCGGAGGCGGCCAGAGAAACCCAAGCAGGTAACCACTGCAAACAGCACAGGTCTTTGTTAGATCTCATCCCCTGTGGCTCATGTTTGTTGTGCCCAGTCTACTTTGACTGTGTCCCAGAGTGAATTAAGTAAAATTTTAACTGCATGTTTTGCCACAGATAGCTGTTGCCTTTCCCTCATGGTATTATTATCAACACAGGGCAACAAAAAACCATTTGAAACAAGCCTCACCCCAATTAAAGCAGATGTTTGTGCACAGCAGGGTGAGAAGCAAAGCACAGCTGTGGTACCTGATGACGTGCCAGAGGAGCTGAGGAGGCCTCAGTGTCCAGCGCTCATCCCAGCAGAGGAGACCAGCACATTCAAGGTGAAGATGTCTTACACAATAGCAAGTTTCAGCCAAGATATCTGATTTGTCAAGAATGCAATTCAACCATTTTTCATTTATGACCATGCAGTTTTTGGGAACTGATCTGTTTTTCTCTCACTTTATGACCTCATTTTTAATTATACTCATGAAAGTTCAGAGAAACTTGTGTTTGTAAGTATTATCTGATCTGTCCCTTTTTGAGTATTAATAACAGAAATGTTTGTTCTTTAAGTCTAACTCATAACATATTAACTTATTTTAAAGAAAACACAGGAAGCTGCTTCTTTTCCCAGCTTTGAAGATGGTAACTATTTTATATTGCTCCATTTCATAGTTTTCACAATTTTCATAATCAAGTGCCTTAAAATGTCTAAACAGCAAGTTTAGTTTTTGTTTTTTGCTGCATAGTCCCAGGTCCCTGTGAGCCAGAAGATCTTATTGATGGGATCATCTTTGCTGCTAACTACCTTGGCTGCACTCAGGTGTTGTCTGACAAAAACCCGTCCAAGTCTGTCCGCATGTCTCAGGCCCACGAAGCTGTCAGTCAAATCAAGGTAATATACCACCTCTTAACATCCACGAATTTACTTTATAAATGTTTATATTTGCCTTAGATGTTACCATAGGCTTAGTTAGTTTAGTTTAGTCTTGTCAGCCTGTCCCAAAAAATGTAGGGACAGGTCAGAGGGAAATTTGGGTTTGGGGTCCAGGAGATTTTGGTGGATCTGGGATTTTTGCCATTAGATAAGTTGCCATTTAAGCTTTGGCTACCACGCTAACAAAAATATAGGGTATATCTCATGTCTCTTATAAGATCGTTCCTGGGTTCCTGGTTCTCGGTCGACCCAGAAGTCACTACAGTCAACAAAGGATGTAATAGGACCTTATGTAGGACCTTAGCTTTTAAATCAGCTCTGACGCGCGAGGACTGAGGGCGGTGCTGGAGGAGCCATGACTGAGGACACACGAGACCATCCGTCGCTGAAGTTTTTTGTGAACTGACACGACCGTTTATCATAAATCAGTTGGTGAATGGACACTTCAGAAAGGACATCACATGTGTAACATGTTTCCTCAAGTCCTTTCTCCTCACATTTTCCTTGCATCTTACATGGGGGGGACTAAGACACAGGGAAAAGATGCAAGTGAGGGAAACAGAGACTTGGGACGTGCCTATAGACTATATTCCAAGCCCTAAGCGTGTTTATGGTTTTAAGAGATTGAAACTGATCTATTTGTAAGATACTTGCTCAGTAGTGGCATAAGTGTAAAAGTGCCTTATGCTGTGGGTTTCAATAAATTAATGAGATTTTTAAGTGTGCACCTGTATTGCCAGATGAGCTATTTGTGAACTGTTAGTGATGCACTATTTTTATTTCTTACCACATGGTGGAGCAGTTGCATTCCTTTTTTGCTCACCTCCCCAGTAGTGTTTTGATAATGAGCTGAATTTACACTTAAACTGTGAGGTTAAAGTAAAGAATTATGAAATGGCTGATTAAAACAAAATGGTATTTATTTCCAAGAGCCAAGACGAAGACTCTCAAATGATGACAGAAGTGGACCTGTTTATCTCAACTAAAGCTGTCAAAGTGCTGAATGCTGACACACAGGTTAGTAACCCTTTAAGCTTTGTGCGTTGAGTCTGTTTTCAGACATAATGAGCAATGAATGTCGTTGTTGTTGCTTCACATAGGAGACAATGATGAACAGCGCCTTGCGCACCATCTCCTACATTGCCGACATCGGCAGTATTGTGGTTCTGATGGCACGGAGGCAGATGTCTCAGGCCTCATCAGAGGATTTCTCAGAATCATCAGACTCTACCAGCGAAGGGAAGAGTCAATACGGGATGATCTGCTATGTCTTTGAGTCAGAGGATGTAAGTGTCTGTGGTTTATGCTTTAGTTCTGTTTTAGATATTTGTTCTTTGGTCGCTTAAATCCTTGTGATCTTTCTCACCTCCTTGCTGTTGTCAACTTGGATAGCCTTTCTGCTGAGTAGTTCTCCCCAAACACTCCCCTTCCCATAGGCACAGCTCATCGCACAGTCTATAGGTCAGGCGTTTAGTGTGGCCTACAGAGAATTCCTGCGAGCCAATGGCATCAACCCGACCGACTTGAGCCAGAAACAATACAGTGATATCATCAACTCACAGGAAATGTACCACGATGACCTTGTCCATTTCTCAAACTCAGACAACTGTAAAGAGGTGCGACATTTTTATTTGGCTGCGTGTGAAATGTGGATAATGACTAAAGAATTTGCCTTAACATAAAAAGTCTCTCTAATCTCATGTGAAAAGTATTAGGAAATGCTTTTTCTGAATTTCAGCTGTATGTGGAGAAGCAAAAAGGGGAGATCCTTGGTGTGGTGATCGTGGAGTCCGGCTGGGGCTCCATTCTGCCCACCGTCATTCTGGCCAGTATGCTGAACAGCGGCCCAGCAGCTCGCTCTGGAAAGCTCAGTGTTGGGGACCAGATTATGTCCATCAATGACACCAGCCTGGTGGGGCTGCCGCTTGCCACTTGTCAGGGCATCATCAAGGTACAGACCATATAAGGCACCTCCAGTTAGTCTTTGCAGATATTCACTGTGAACCTGGTCTTGAAGAGGACGAAGCTGGCAGTATTCTATAGTCCAGTTCTTAAAACAGTTCCAGCCCTAAGCCATTGCTAGCAGACATTACTCAAACAAGTGTTAACTGTGCATTAACTCTTCTGAGCTGTGGATTCAGTGAACTAATAGGTATTTAGCAGGATGATGTGCGTTGGATCAAAATAAGTGTTTCTGGGCGTCAGTGGAGCTTCATGAATCAGAGAACTGTGTTAGATCAGGCTTTGGCTACATGCAACATTTGTTAGTTTGGCTGTTAGTGGTTTGGTCTTTTGAGAAGAAAAAATATCTCTAAACATATTTTTTAAAATGACTGTAACATCAGTGTGTGTGATGTGTTGTTGCACATTTTCTAGGGTTTGAAGAATCAGGTAAAGGTTAAGCTGAGTATTGTAAGCTGCCCTCCTGTCACCACTGTCCTCATCAAGAGACCCGATCTCAAGTTCCAGCTCGGCTTCAGTGTTCAGAATGGCATTGTGAGTAAGCCCTTGTCAGGAAGTAGCACGACACTAAACTTTTTAGGCTGATGTTCGAATTGAATGGTTGGCAACTTCTTGAAGAGCACTACTGTTATTAAAGAATGGTGGTTATGCTGTGTACTGTTGTATAAGGTGCCTTTTTCACACCCTCAGATCTGCAGTCTGATGCGAGGTGGCATTGCAGAGCGAGGTGGCGTTCGTGTCGGACATAGAATCATCGAAATAAATGGTCAGAGTGTTGTTGCTATGGCGCATGAGAAGATTGTTCAAACCCTGTCTGTCTCAGTGGGTGAGGTAAGAACTCGCACCACAAGATGCCAATTTTCCTCAATTACTGCACCACAGAAATCACTGCCATACAGGCCTTCTAAAGATATGTGCAGAGATTACATAAGGTTGAAATTGGATCAAGGACCAGATTGTGCAGTATCACAGCAAGCATTTAATAAACAAAATCAAAAGGTCACAATTAAATGTTTAAAGTGGAGAGATAAGTTGTTTGTAGTGCAGCAGATGATTGCAGTTAATTGTTTGAGAAATCTTGGCTGGCCAAGAAGTTAAGCCATTAATAATTCTATTCCTAGCACACTATCAACTTTAGGAAACTGGTTTACTTCTTTGAGCTCCAGTCTATTAATTAAAGTGCACATCTTCATCTAAACAAAATATATCTGACACTTTACCATAAATTACATAACAAATTGATAATTTATGGCTAGTTATGTTTTCTATATCAATCACTCTTGACCGGCTCCACTGGAAATTAATTAGTTTCTTCCCTAATTTCTCCCAGTGTATATATATCGCCATTAAAGCCATAACAGTTATTTGTCAGTAATGGATCCAAAGTCTCGTGACTCTCTGGTGCCACAGGGTGGAGTAAATTATGAATGGAGTAAGTAAAGTACTCTAAGTAAATGGGCTCTTAAGCTGAAAGTGTAATCATCCCTGCTCCTTTCATCTCTGCCAGATCAACATGAAGACGATGCCTGCTGTGATGTTCAGGCTTCTCACAGGACAGGAGACGCCCATCTACATATAGAGACGCTGCATGGATCTGCCCACTGTAGTTCTGCTGGTCTGGCTGTGTGAAGACAATGGACAGGTGATGGGCAGGGGGCTAAGTGAGATGAGGAGAATTTATTTTTCTATCATTTTATTTTTTCAGCTTCTTGTTGCAATGCTGTAAGAACATTCAGTTCTCATTTTCAGGTTTTTTCTTGAATTACATTGTCATAATGGCCTTACAATGTGAATACTCTGTAGTACTGTATGTGAGTTTCTGGTGTTGAAGAGAAGTAGCTTTAAGGTCATGATTATTTTCCTATGAAGAGATATATTAGTACATTTATTTTTTATTTAGTCATTTTTATAATATGTATGAAGTCTAAAAACGTACTACTGTAAATACTTTGGATTACTCAAGGACCTGGTTAGAAAGGCCATATTACTCCTACAGTTTATGCATGTTACTATGAAGAACTACTGACCAGGGATTAAGTCTCATCTGACATGATAATCTATTACATTTAAGTATTAAAGGATGATAATAATATGCTGTACAAAGGCACTAAAGGATGTGTGTTATGGTAACGCTGAAGGCCAAAGACACAGCTACTTTTCATAGACATACAGTGTGGGTGATCATTACCTTTACCAGAACATTCACGAATGTATACACAGACAAAATATACCTTACTGACTGAATCTAATGTTAAAACAAATCAAAAAATAGTCTCACAGCTGAACACTTGTTTTCATTTTATTAAGGTGTTACTGCAAAAAAAAAAAAAAATGCACTTACAAAGAGAATAAAGAAAAACAAAATGTTTGGATCAGAGATTAATAAGTCGTACTTGATCAGGTAGTTTTCTTTCATGTTTTCACATTTGTTTGTATCTTGGAAGCTGTGGAACCACTGACAGATGCATGCACTGTAAGAAACCTACCCAACATCAACGTATCCAAAATCAAATTCACAAGGTGAACAATGACAGACCTATAATCCATACTGATCATTGTATGGCTCCCATACAACTTCATATATTGTGAACTTTACAACTATTTACAACTAGTTACAGTTAAATCGTGTACAACACAAAACATGGACAATTAAACAGGTGTAAACTCAGACACTCCATCTGTTACACATTCAGTAAAACTGTCTTCAAGTACTGGTTGGACAAGCTCCCCGAGGGAGACCCGCGTGGCATCATACATGTTGCTGAAATGGAGAAACAAAATGATCCATGTAGGCAGAAAATATTTTCCTAAATGGTATGTGGACATATATGCTGTGGTCACCATAGCTGCAGTGTTTCATTTTATTGTAATCGATCGTTCCTTTTTAATACTGGATTGGTCACATTTTTCAGACATCCCAAAGTGGAACTCAGTGAGTAGTTAACAGCAGTAAGTATATATCAAAGTTTCTCATACAGAAGTGAAAAGACTAATCCCTTAACAAGCAGCAAAAATGGTACTTTCATCATTGTTAATGTGCCAAAAGTGTTACCATCTTAGTATCAGCAACATACCTGTGTGCCTTTTGATGTCAGTGGTGAAATGAGCACATCTTGAAGGAAAATTGAATTCAGATAGCCCTCATCATAAGAAACGTCTTCATCTTCATAACTGTCGACACCAACACTGAAAGCCTCTTTCATCTTCTCTGGTATCATGAAGTTAAACAGCACCACCAGAACCCCAATGATGGTGCACAGCACACCTGAAATTCATGTCAGTTGGTAACTAACATGACCCTCCAGCAGACCGCATACCAGCGAGCAACTCAGCTCAGCGTTCAACCTTACCTGTGGCCAGAGCCAGCCAGAACGAATGGCTGTATTCTGCTTCAAAGGAGTCAGTTCCTATGGAGAAAACACACTGAGGCACATTCATGATGGTGGAGAAGGAGGCCATGGAGAAGAAGATGAATGCAGCGGTGGCCATCGTCATGTAGCCGGCGTACAGAATGACTGGCATGGAGAACAGGATATTCGCGATCATCCAGCAACAAAATGCAGTCCTGTGAATGTGTGCATTCATTTTAATTACTGCTATTTTCTAACAACTATCTACTGAAAGTATGGCAGTATATTAAATATAACATCATAGTGCAAGTTATTTGTAGTTACCAGAGAGTTGCAGAGGCGTATCGTCCAGAGTATCTGTACTGAAAGATGAGGCCACATGGGCTGCTCAGGGTGAATTTCTCAGCAATATACAGGATAGGGTTGGGTAAACCTTTCTCCAGAGCTTCCTCATACTCGTCTTCAATAGTGTCGTGCCAGCTGAACATTTCATTGTAGTCAATGGCCTCATTGAACTGTATAACAGGATTCCCTAAGAGAGAAAACAAAAGGCAATGTATGTGTGTGTATACACATACACACACACACACACACCCAATATGAGAGATTCTCCTGAAATCCATATACAAGACCATCTGTCATTTTACTTCACAAACTGGACTTATAGTTTTTACTTCTTTTGACAGATATTGCAAGAAGATATCAGACTTTTTAGCAAACATATTAACCAAACATCCAAGTTGCTCAAATTTTAAAGCTTCAGTTAAAATGTGCATGTGTTCTTGTATCTGCACGTAACAGCAGCAATAATGACTCACCTTTCAGTGTAACGTTAATGCCGTACAGGCCGACATGCAAGCCGATCTCAGCATTAACCACTGCATTGCTGAAAGACTTGTAGGTGGCGTTAGTGGTCATTCTGGCCTCGGCCCAGTCACTGGTAAAGTTGAGCGCTGCAGAAAAACACAAAGCTTTATTCTGGTGGCAGGAAAAGGAAAATCTGTGATGTATACAACAACAACTAATACAAAACTCACCCACTATCACAGCACCTATGAACAAGCTGATAATTATTCTAAACATCCAGAACAGCCTCTAATAAGAAAGGAAAAGAACAGAATAAAGATTATTTTAGGTCCACAGACAATTAAAGTAAAGCATTGAAAGACAATGCTGTTGTCATTTTGCACGTTTAAAAACAATGCTGACAAGCACAAAAGGAGACCACAGCTCTGAGGTTTTGTAATATGCTTACAGTGCGTAACAGTGTATGACGGGTTGCACTCACCGACTTCCCTCGTATACCTGGCAGAATGACAAGAAGACTGACTGCTAACACAAGGAAAACCAGAATAGTGGTGAGCAAGCGGCCACTGAAGATGAAGGAGGTCCTTTGTAGAGGGTAGAATGGGTAAATGTCATCGTAGAAAGTCATCTTAGCTCCTGATCCTGTAGCTGCAGCTGAAACTAGACTGTAACAGAGAAGACAGTGTTACTGGCAGGCTTCTCAGTTTCCTTCAGATGCAGAGATAGCAGCTCTTGTTCCTTCCAGTAGATATGGGATGAGACATCATTACCACTGTTTAACATTGCATATGATTGAACACAACCATATCTGGCTTATCAAAAAGAATTCAGTGTTGCCTGGCACTGGGTATCTTTACTGCAAAGAGATAAATGTCTGTGTAATGCACAAAGGTATGGAATTCAGCTAGTGACTTGGCTCCATCCTTATTTTATCTGAACCTAAAAAAAAACGGGAATGTTTCAGTGTCTAATAATAATCAGTTGGTAAAATCCAAAAGAGGTTACTTACCTGAAGGTTGAAAGACAGGGGCTGAAGTGTGAATATTGGGGAAGCACACACTTCTTTTATACCACTGGTCCCCTTTGTGTCAGTGAGGAGGAGGATAGATTGACAGGAAGGAATGCTGCTGGAAAGAGGTGTGATCCAGAAATGATGGCCATTCCCATTTGGGCAACACGGGTCACAAGTAGTTTGTGATAAGGTGTGCAACACATGTTGTCCTTAGTATTGCACCATTCCTCAACCTCACCTGTGCACCTGCACCACTGCACCACTGCTGCACTACATTTCAACCTCTACGGTAGGTAAGACTCAACTATTTCTAATCATTTTTGCCAAAGTTTTGTAAAGTTTAGCTGTTACTTTCTGACTTTTCTTTCTAATCCCCGCTAAACCAACGAAGTATATTACATGAAATTAAGACAGAGATATAAGAGGAAATGTTAGGTACCTTCACGTCGTCTTCACTTTTCAGAAGTCCTTCTCTCCTCTTGGCTGCGGACTGAGCTGAGGAGCATCTCTTGCATCAATGGATTTGCGTAAACGGGTTTGGAGTATCTGTGCAGTGGTTGGCTTGGTGCTCTTTGTCAGTGAACGTGAGTAGACACCAGTTTAACTCCATATTAACTATCAGTTAAGTAGCAACGCTGTTTAAACTCGCCATGTATTTCCCAGATTCACGTGCATTAACATGGGAGGTTCCCCGCTTTGACGGCTGGTACAACAGTTTGGGTTTTCCCAGACGCGGAGCTGTGGGTAAGTCATAGTGTTGATAAAGCCTGCAGCAGCGGTGCATCCAGCCAAGAACACAACTATTCACCGAACCGCGCTTGTGCTCGTGCAGGTTCTCATCTTATGCGCCTCGTGCCCGCGCATTACTGGGACGGAGTTTACCAAGTTGTCCAGGAGCCATGGCTGCCAAACCCCCGCGGACTGAGCAGAGTACTGGCCGAGGGGCCCTCCGGTCTGCCCTCCACACGCAACCAAACCGTGCTTTCTCTCTTTTTTGGTAAGTATAGGCGCCGTTACATGATTAAGTGTTCAAAACTGGCAGTAGTTTCACTGACGGCCGAGCCCATCATACCAAAATGCAGGTGCGACACAGGTGTAAGCTTTTAAGCAGTAGGGCCCCCTTTTAAGACAATTAAGCGGAGAAAAATGCAAAACCCTTACAGATACCTATCTAAACAGCCGAACAAAGTGGAAAACCCATAGAAAGATAGAATTATAAAACTGCAAAATACAAAATCAGACAAATATAGTTGAGAAAGATTGATTAATACATTAGGTATTGGTCGGTAGTATTAGTTAATATGCTAAAACGTGAGCTCTTTTGCTGCCTTGTACGTCTATGATTGAATGTTCTCTCCACAGTTGTATTCCCATCTGATCCCCTGTTTTATCATAGCCAGTGAGAAGATATTCAAAAAATGTAGTTGGCAAAGCTCTTAATTATTCTGACATTTTTCAGGATATCATGTAGCTTTTGAAATTTTTGACTCAAGAACTCCTGGATGTCCACCCGAGTTCATGAACATCCCAGTCCCAAAAGGTGACCCTGTCTTTGACCCGACTGCCACCGGAAAAGTCCTGCTGCCCTTCCAGAGAGGACCCTGGGACAAAGAGTCTGGACAGAGTCCCAGTAACCCTCGCACACAGGTGCTGATTAATGACTTATCAATATGAAATAACGTGGCTGTTAATTGTATCTTCAAACTGCAGTCTCCAGAGACAATCAGTAAGTTGAGTTCTGCAACACTTGAGGCAGTTCTGGAGGGCAGTATGTTAAACTACATTTCATTTTCCTGATGTGCAATAATGTGAGAAACACAAATACTGTACAACACATGCAGGTCAACTTAGTGACAGCATGGATCGATGGCAGCTCAATTTATGGCCCCTCCACCTCCTGGTCTGATGCTCTGAGAAGCTTCTCTGGAGGGCTCTTGACTTCAGGTTCTGAGTGGAACATGCCAAAACAAGGAGGAGGACGAAATCTCATGTGGAGTGCTGCTGACCCCTCTACAGGAGAACACGGACCCCATGGGCTTTATGGTGAGACATTATACACTTTAAATTTCTGACTTGCAGCAAACACTGTTCACAAAGAACTGAATTTATTATCCACTGAATATCAGACAGGGGGGTTACCTCATTAAGGGCACTTTAAAAATAAGTCAGAAAATTCCAGTAAACCAACTTCAGCTCTGCATCACTGATTAAAGAAACAGTTTACTCAGAAACAGACATAATTTCCTCCTTAACAGTTTCATTATTTCTTGAAGAAATACTGGCTGGAGCTCAACCCAGAGCAGTGAACTGCTGAATTATGGCTGCAGATATTTTCATCTCCCTAAAAGAATAACTTTCAAAGAAAGGAGGCCACTGTGTCTGGAAACTGATGTTGCTTTTGAGTTTTGAGCATCAAAAACTAGTTCATCACTCTGAAAATACCTGAATCTATAAAGTTCACTCAGGTTGAGACTGAATATGTTTTTGTGTGTGCCAAAAAAACTTAGGAGAAAGCATCTGGACGTAGTTTTAGGTAAAACTAAAACATACCTAAAACTACGTCCAGATGCTTGCTTCTAAGTTTCTTCAGCATACTATGACCTGGATGACTGAGAATTTGCACTGACATGTTTTTGCGAGTGTTTGGGTGAGTGATGCCTTTGCGCAACCTGGTAACCAAACAGTTTTTTTATACTGTATGTGGCAGTACCTACCCATTTCATACTGCAAGCCACTGAAAGCAAATAGCAATAAAATCTTGGGAATGTTATTTCACAAAGGTCTACTTTGATTAGGGTTGCAGGTTGTGAGGGTGAGTCAAGAAAGGCCCAGCCTGACGTGTGTTGTGACTCTTTAATTATTGTGTAAAAGGCTTGTCACACTCACCACAGTAAATCCCTCTTTCTGTAGCAAAGAAGAAACTATACAGGTGTCATGAAACCAGTGTTTTGTTCCCCGTGTTGTTAAAGGTGTGTAGTTATTATCTGGGGTGGAGACAGAACATCTGCTCCTTTTGTCACCATTCTTGTGTCACATTCTTAAAAACAAACAGTCAAATTATAATTGCGTTAGCGGTCAGAGATAGTCATCAATCAATGCAATGCAAGTATGACACTTCACTGATGAGGTACGGAATATTTGTGAATGCAGTTCGGGCAGTTTGTATTTGAAAAACATTACATATACAGCATATTCTCTGTTTATTGTGTTGTAGCTATAGTGATGTTATTCAGATGATGAAGAATAATTTGTGCTATCTTCTGTGTCCAGAATTGGGAAATGCATGGGCCAATGAGAACATATTCACGGCAGCAGAAGGGATTATCTGGTTTCGCTACCACAATTATTTAGCCTCCAAACTGCATCAGGAACACCCAGAGTGGTCAGACGAAGAGCTGTTTCAGAACGCCAGGAAGACCATTGTAGCCACTTTCCAGGTAGGACAAGTCTCCATATAATGCTGTCACTACACAGGTGCTGATCTAATTTGCACAGTGGAAGGAGCAAGGCTACATCAGCACCAGGTGTTCGGGATTTTAGTGAAATTGATGGTTTCAGTTTAAGGGCGAATGCATCATCTCTCACTTGTTTGATTAGTAGAGTGAGTAGACGCTCTGCAAGAACTGCCCTGAACGACATTACACACATTATTTTCTTGTTCTACTTCTACTGAGAACAAGATTCAACAAACTGTTTACTATCAAGTAATATGTTATCTCACATCAAATCCAAAACAGAACTCTACAATGAAAAAGTCACAAATTATATATATATATATTTGAAGAAATTGTCTCAAAAGGGAGGAAGAGATGAGAAAACCATCTGAGTATATTATCACCTAAGCCCATACTATCATTATAGCTTTAGTCTGGTTTTTAAACAATGCAGTAACCCTTTATCCCTGCTATTTTTTCAAACAGAATATTGCACTCTACGAGTGGCTGCCTGGATACCTGGGTGGCAAAACGCTTCCTCCTTACCCAGGTAAGAATCAGGCAGAGTACGTGTGCATGCAAGTGGAGGGGAACAGGTAATGCACCAGTGACCACAGGCTGTGGTGCGGTGAGTTATCGTTAGTGGTGTTGGACAAAGTATGTGCTCCGTCAGCAAAGTATCACCCTGAGATTCCTTCATCTGCTGAAC